CCTGCTGCATATCTATTGGGCATATCCTGTCACCTCCTTTCCACACCCACAGTCCCACATATGGCCATTTCCCTGACAACTACACTAGAAAATAAGACACCTCTCCCACAGATACCCACACACACACATCATGATTACACTCGTACAGTAGCTGAGGGATACCCTCAGCCCGTCATATATGCCCATTATACAGGAACAGTTAGAGAGACACACTCTTTATCTGTTACAGAAAACACACATTCACTTGCATTCTTACACAGACAAATCCAGTTGTAAAAACGACCCAGACTCCCTTCCTCTCCCCCAACCCCCTTACAGACATGTTTTGCTTGCAGTTGAATCCCAACAGCCTAACGCTAGTACATAATAGACACCCAATACATATTTGTTGGGTAAATTTAAAAAATTATTCCTCAGAGACATGCCCAGTATATCTGCATGACCATCCTCACTGTCACCCACACTTTCACATCTGGCTTTCCCCTCATGGACACACAGTCCCACAAACACAAAGTAATTAAGTTATCACACACACACACACCCCTAAGCTAAAGGACAACCCCTGGCCCAGGGGTCTCTCCCAGAGGGGGGGAGGGAACCCTGTGGGATCCAAAGGGGCCGCCCTTGGTGGCTGAGCCCTCCTGTTTCTCCTCCCCCAACCCCAGCCTCAGCCCCAGCTGCTCCTCTTTTAATTGGAGGCACTTCTTTATTCTGCAGGCTAGGAGAGTGGATGGTGCATGGGGAAGGGGGGGTGGATTACCAGGTGGCCTTAGGGCTGGAACTCACCTAGATGTGTGTGCAAGATACTCCTGCAAAGCAAGGGCCACATCTACCAAGTTTGATGTCGAGAAATCAGCTTCTAATGATTGGAGTCAGAAAAACAGCATTTGAGTCTAGTTCCTGTCCCTTCCTGGCTTTCAGTGCCTCAGTGTTCTCATCTGTGAAATGGAGATAACATCACAGGGTTACTGGTGGACAACATGAGATAATCACCGTGACTGAGGGTGCCTAGGATGTCACTGTGCTTTGTCCTCCGGCTTTCTTTTCCTCCCCTACTCCTTCCTAACAGGGCTACTCTACACGGCATGCAGAAACACTGGGGAGATGCAAAAGCTGCACCACAGGAGGTAAGCTCCGTGTGAGTCTCCTCCTGGTTCAGAAAAACTTTCCAACCTGCAGCAGTGTGCTCAGGGAACACGGCTTCCAGGAGGGGCGGGGGCCAGAACCCAGTGACTCCTGACCCTCTTGTCTCAACTTCCTAGGAAGAGAAGGGACTGAAAGGGTACCCCAGGCCCTCAGCAACTACCTCATTGGAAAACAAAGGCTGAGGTCAAGTTGGACACAAAGAACCTCATCTTGGGGGAGGCCAGCACCTCAGAACTGGACTGGGAGAAAAGTTGACTCTGATAAGTAGGAGCGATGGGGGGTGGAGGGGAGTATGGAAGAGACCGGTGAGGCGAACAGATGTAAGGGCAGGGGAAAGTCAGGATTCCCTGGGTTGCAGGATTTTGATGAGAAGAGCATCCCAACAGTCTTAATGGGCTACTAGGCAGCTGTGACCTCTGCCAACCTTGGGCTAGGCCAGCAAGGGTGAAATCTCCTGCCAGGGACCCTGGCCAACTGATGCCAGATCTGAGGAGTTCAAGATGCAGTAAGTAAGTAAGGCAGGTGCCCAAATGGGCAAGGTCAGAAAGACATAGGTACTGGAAAGTTTCATCCAGAGGAGGAGGGAGGGAGGAATGGGGAGAGTGTTAGGAACATGCAGGGGGTTTCCTGCATGGGCCAGAGAGTGGCAAAGGGAAGTTGTTCTAAGGATAACTTAGAAAGACAGGGTTTTAATTGCAGCAGGCAGAACTGTAGTTAGTCATGAAAAGGACCAGGGCCACTGCGATTCAGCCTCAAAGGAAGCAGAAGCACCTCTCTCCATACTTTTCAGCCTCATCCAGGGAAAAGAGTTCAGATTTTGGGAACGCAGATCAATCTTCTTCTGTCTGTGGAACTTTGGGCAAGTTTGTTCATCTTACCAAGTCTCAGTTTTTGTTTTTTTCTTTTTAAAAATGAATATAATTCATATACCATAATATTCCCTTTAAATCATAAATTCAGTGGTTTTTAATATATTCACCAAGTTGTGCAACCATTATCACCATCTAATTCCAGAATATTTTCATCACTCCAAATAGAAACTTTGTATCCATTTGCAGCCACCTCCTACCCTTCCTCCTCCAACCCTTGACAACCACTAATCTACTTTCTGCCTCTATGGATTTGCCTATTCTGAATGGTTCATATAAATGCAGTCATATAATATGTGGCCTTTTGTGCCTGGCTTCTTTCACTTAGCATCATGTTTTCTAGGTTCTTCCATGTTGTAGCATGAATCAGGACTTCCTTTTTATTCTTTTTTTGGATGAATAATATTCCATTGTATGATTATACCACATTTTATTTATCCATTCATCACATGATGACCAACACTGCTATGAACATTCATTGAATTTTCTTAGTTATTTAAAAATGGGAGATTTTTCCATTAACTTCACAGATTTGTTGTCTTAAATGAGATCAGTGTGGTATGGTGCCTAGCACATAGTAGTTTCTCAGTAAAACACTTATGTTTATCTCTGCTTTGGTTCCCCCAAGACAAGAGGCAGGAAAGAGACAAATTTAGGTTCAAACAATATTTTTTTGAAAGTTACAAAACCTTCCTTTATTGGCTCTCAAACTGAGTGAAGCTCTGATCTGTTGAGATGATCTGACGTTTACAGTGGACAGGTTCAAACAATTTTTGATGAAAGTTATGGCATCTCCTGGGTAGAGGTGTAGAACCTGGATTGGGTGGATGGAGAGGAGCAAACTGGCAAGGGAGTAGAGCTCTCTCCTATTTCTGCTTAGTGTTTACAAACCACCACCTTCTTCACATCTGGCCTTGCTCTGAGTGGGCCTTTGTCCACCTGCCTGGAGCCCAGACAAGGTTTTCCCCACAGAGATGTGCTTCCAACCAGCAGCCAGGTTTCCAGACTAACCTATAAAAGCAAGTCAAATCCAGCTCCTCTGTCTTGATCAGATCACTTAGCCTCTCTGAAATTTGCTTTCTTACATCTATAAAATGGGGATAATACTCATCTTGAAGAGTTAGTGAAGTTCATAGTGTTCTCCATAATACTTATCGCCATCTGACGTAATGTATTTGATTCTTTGTTTATTGTCTAACCCCTTCTATGGAATGTAAACTCCATGAGGGCAGGACCTTTGTTTTATTTACTGCTATTTTCTCAATGCCAAGAACAATGCCTGACACATGGTAGGTATTCAATAAATATTTGTTGAATAATAAGATTCATTCTTTCATTTTTCACCCAGGTTGAGTATATCCTGCGGTTTGGGGCTGTACTCCACAGCTGGGGAGGGGGGGGACTGAGATGAGTAAACCATTCCCTGCTTCCAAGGAGATCTCTTCAAGTGGAAATAACAGACATGACCAAAGCAAATAGACTGTAACGAGATTTGATGAGGAGAATGCAAACCTTCATATTCTAGCATCTTGCCTGATAGAGACAATCCCTCCTTGAAGACCTGTTGAATCTGATATAGACCAGAAATAGATCCCAAGTGATCCAACCTGCACCCTTCCCAGAGCTTGGCTCCTTCGAGGGAGCAGACCTTTCCCTACTGAAGAGGGAAAAGAGAGGAAGCAGAAAAAGGGAGTTTCCGCCTTCTCTCCTGGGCTCTAAGCCAGTCAGCCACAGGCTGACTTTAAACTTTAAAAGGCCTCAATTTGTCCGGATGCACTTTCCTGATCTTGGTCCCACCAAACCCAGCCCCCACTGCCTTAAGTCCCCTACGCCTCCCTCGCAGGATTCCAAAAGTAAGAAAATAACTCCTTCCTCTCACCACAGTCCAAGGGTTTTTTGCTTGGAATAGCCAGCCCTGGGCTAGTTGCTAGGTGAAAGCAATCTGACTGAATTCATTCACACACTGTGGGAACTGCTTCTTGAGGCTTCTATTTAAAAGGAAAGGGGTATCTTGAGGCATGGGCACCCTGGCAGCAGGCCGCAAGCCAACTCCCTTGACTTGTGCCTGCCTCTCAGGAAGTCTTCCTTTCCTCAGTTTCTCTAAATAGGCTGAGTTGGGGGTGGTTGTTGATTTTTCCAACAACATATAGCCAGTTGTTCATAGGCCTGTGTTTTAAAAAAGGACAAGCCTGAACTCACCTTCCCGCCTCAGGGGCCTGGGCTCCATACCTGGGGAGTAGACAGTCTTCTACTTTCTAACAAGCCAGACTTGAAGTTTGGAGTAAATCCTCTTGTTGAAGGACAGGTGCTTCCCAGCTGAGCCCTTGGGGAGGTTCTCCAGTAGCTCACGGACACCCTTCCCCAGAGGCCTAGCAAGCTGGACCCCTTTGGCCCAATTCAAAGTGGGGAGACTCCTGCCAGGCTGGGAAGAGGTCTCTGTCCTCCACCTCCTTGGGTCCGTCTGTTTATGGGTCTCTGGGAAGGGCCGCCTCCTGTTCTTTTTCTCCTTTTAAGTCTCCGAATCCCTTCTTCTCTCTCTTCCTGAACTACTTCTCCGAGCCTCGGTCTCCGTCCCTCTGTGTCTGGCTCCTGAATCAGTCTCGGCTCCCGGCCTCCCTCTCCCCCTCTCCGCCCCTCCCCCGCGCTGTCATTCACCCCGCTCCTCTCCACGCACAGCCAATGGAGAGACCCGGCCGAAACGGCTAGACTCGCTCGCACCGGGCTTTTTCGCCCGGTGATTGATGTCCCAGAGTCAACATCTAGCAAGCAGCCGGAGAGGGGAAGGAGCAGCCGGAGAGGGGAAGAATACGGCGCCCCCTCTCCCTTCCCCTCCCCCCTACTTTAGCCCTCCGCGCACTTCGCCTCCAAGTCGCCGCGCAGCCAGGAGCCGCTGCCGCCTCCGCGCCCCTGCGCGCTGCCCCCCGAGCCAAACACAGCAAACGCCGCCGCCCAGGCCCCCCCGCGGGGCCGGGGCCGGGGGCCAGCATGGAGCACCTGGGCCCGCACCATCTCCACCCGGGCCATGCGGAGCCCATCAGCTTCGGCATCGACCAGATCCTCAACAGCCCGGACCAAGGCGGCTGCATGGGGCCCGCCTCGCGCCTCCAGGACGGAGAATACGGCCTTGGCTGTTTGGTTGGAGGCGCCTACGCTTACGGCGGCGGGGGCCCCGCAGCCGGGG